CGTCGAACGGCTGCACCAGAGTCTAAATGGGTTCGCCTCAGAAATAGAATTTACCGCAAAGAGGCAACAGGAGATACCCTCCCATTCCTGGACGTGAGAATACAAAGACTCACGGATGGCGAACTCGCAACAAGCGTCTACAGAAAGGACTCCACTGCAGAAATCAGCATTAACTATGGGAGTAACCAACCTGCGGCCCATAAAAGAAGCTGTGTTCGTACTCTTTTCCAACGGACCCATCGTTATTGCAGTAATTATGGTTTGCTCAAGAGAGAACTAGCATATTTGTACAAATTCTTCCAGGCCAACGGATATCCGACAAGCATTTTCAAAAATTGCCTTGGACGTCTGGGTCAAACACAAAACCTCCCTCCCAATGAAGATATAGTGCTACCGAAATTTATTCTCTACCCTACATGAATGGAATCCTGAAACCATCTCTCGGCAACTAAGTCGTTTCGGCATCTTCGTCGCCACAAGCTCGCATCCTCACTGCGCACAAGCTTATGTCGAGTAAAGGACCATCTACCCGTAGAACAACTAAGCAACGTCGTTTACCGCATACCGTGCGCCGGTTGCCCTTGTGTTTATATTGGTCAAACAGGTCGACGTCTTGAGACTCGCATCAAGGAACATAAATTAGCCGTTCACTGACGGGACGCTTTACCCCTCGTATTTGCGCACTCCCTTGAGTGTGATCACCGATTCAATTGGGATGGCACCGAGGTGATCACCATGGCTAATACGAGGCAAGCGAGAGAATTCGTCGAAGCTTGGCACTCGAGCCTGGCTAGTATTAACAGACACGTAGAGCTTGATTCACTATACTGGTTTTCGCGCATGGTCGACTAACCTACGCCCAGCCTGAAACAATAGCAGGCTGTCCGTGCTCGGTCAAGTAGAATTTCACTGACTCCAAACCCCCCCTCTCCCAAACACGTGGCCCACAATCCCAACGTTAACACCTCCCTCCCCTCACCAGGACAACCTATCGCCGCAGGATTCACCTCACCATAACCCTCCTGCCCAATCCCACCCTGTTCGTTGTAAACTCTGCCCACAAAACCTCTACTGCGACATTCCCAGCCCTCACTTTTCATTTAGTCTGACGACGAACAAGTGGTACCTGTTCGAAAATTAACGAGTACAACCCGATTCTCCGACGATCTTCCTTCTTTTCATCAAACTAAAAATGACCAGTTTAGTCCACATTGTCCGTATGAGTGCTACCTTGAACGAATAAGCACCCCTCTTCATAATTATAATGCGTTTCATGAATGGAGGCGAATGCTCGAGTTCCTCATAGGAATAAAGAAGATGGAGACGGGTTGAGCACCGAAAGGGTTTGCTCATTTTTCTGAGATGTCATCCTGCCACAATGCGGCAGACGAAAACCATCCACAAGTAGACTTGAACAGGTTCGAGGGCTGGTCGAAGCACTAGCTTATGCCCTTCGATGCTAGTAGGTGCAACTCTCTTCGAATTGGCAGACGTAAAATGCCCAACCGGAGGATTGCCATTCTGAACTTTACACTGTTCCAAGCAGTTGACAGTCAGAATGACTTGGGTGTACAGGCAATATCTTCACTCAAATCAACATTGAACTGAAAGAAGGTGGCTAAATCGACCCGGGTTATATTGTAACCCGCCAGGCTAACCCCTTTTGATGTTTGTCAAAGACAGCTTATCTACGTTTACCATGTGCTCTACAACAGGATGGTGCAGGGACGGTAACTTGCGTGTGAACTAGATTATATCAGGAGTAGACTTGCACAGCATCTACCGCACCCTCTCTTCCCTCACCCACCCGAGCCCGGTGTCAAGACACAGTTAAGATGACCGGAGGTGGGATCGGGCACAGGTGACTGAAACGGGCGAAGCCGCCTCCAGATGTGCTATTATCCTCTCATGTGCAGCATTTGTTATCGGCGCGCGACCCGAATAACGTCTGCCATACCATGACCTGCCCTCCGTGCTGGTCCAACGTATCTATCCAGC